CTATGGTCCAGTTGTATGTTAGGACCTCTCACATTGTACTGGTACAGACTGTATCGGTGCAGAAAGTATATCGCTCGACGTGAAGAACGGGCCTTTGGCAACACTATCTTGCACATGTATTTTACATATGTCGTCCCATGCAATGGCTAAATTCAATATACAGTATATTAGGGTTGTGTTTTAAGTTTTTTGGCTTATTTCCCCCGCAGCTTGGCAACATTAGCGCCCCCTAGGCCTGTGGCAGGGTCCTTCTGTACAAAAACCTTCACCTGCACAAAAACTCAGCGGTATTCCACTAAATGCGGATTTGCAGGATGGAAGAGATGTACTCGGACCAGGTAAGATATATGCAGGATAACCTGCCAAGGTATATACTCAACGGTTGGACATTGGGAGAGGAAAGACAAGAAGTATCAATTAAAAAATCAATTTACATTGGTCAAACGAAACAGATTCACACATTAAAGCTCATTCAAATTGAACAAACATTAATTGGCCTTGAGGCCTCGTTTACTACTACTACTACTAATAATAATAATAATAATAATCGTGTCAATAATTTTACTAATTTATAAACTCGGATTCTTCTTTACAGAGTCGTGAACTCCCAATGTTCCAAGCAGGTGTGTTGTGACGGATGGAGCGGAATAGGTTGTAACCAAGGTATGTGGTCGGACCGGATGCTTAATTGCATCGGCTTCAGGTAGGTGGAAGAAACCAGGCTCCGGATTCAGTAAGAGTAAAAAGAATAAATCTTCAGCTTTTTTTACCTGTTCTGGTTCCGGTTCCCGAAAGCATGGGATTGGATGTGTATTGTGTATTGTGTCTTTTTATTGTTAACAGTTCATGATTCATAATTTTGTATCGTGGACAATGAAACAAGAGTGTTGGAACAACTTATGTTGATATGCTCAGAATCCGGATCCTGGTACGTTGGGAACGTTATAAAATAATAGGCGTATATAGGATTACTAGACATATGACATAATTGAATGTTATATTGTATATTAAGTACAGAAATGTAAACGCTGGTCATTTTAACGACAGACTGCTTATACTTTCATTTTATATTTTGTATAAATGTGACAGTAAACAGTCTGTTAAATATTTTCTTTCCTTATGACACCTCTAGCTAATACTTAACTGCAATGGATAGGATGAATAACAATAAAGAGAGAACGGCACAGCTAGTAGTGCTATTATAATGAAAGCCACACAGTATCAAAACCATGCCCAGTGCAGTATTGTTAGGTTTTACCCGGATCTTAAACATCCTTCATTTGTTGTTTTTCAACTAGCCCTGTGCTATGGCGCCAACTCGTGTCCTAACGGCGGAACCTGCGTCTCTCCTAGCAAGTGCTCTTGTCGACCAGGTTACGCCTTACCAAGATGTGACGGTAAGACTCCCAGGTCATGTAAATCAAGTGTTTCGCTCAGTTGTTACTAATGAATTTCGAGGAAATTATTTAATTCTTAAAATAGGTTTTTGTTAGCTTTAATTGATGCCATAGAAATAGAATGTTAAAACGTTGATTTAAAGGTTTGAAAGCTTTGTTGGATTCTTGTACACAATCTTACATTTGAAGAGTTCCTAATATGATAGCTACTGATAAATGAAGATTGAAGAAATAGTAAGGTGTTCAAAATTCATAGTTATTTATCAATTTTTGCAATATTAATATATGTATTGGACCATTCCCACACTCTATCGTACTTTCACGGTCGAAATATCCCCGACGGGTTTCTCGCTTAATTGTAGTTTAGTTTAAGCGTGCACGAGGGTTTATTACCCGCCTGGTAGCTTTAGTGAGCGAGACAGACATTTAAGCTACTGAAACTGAATGCAATTTAGCGAGAATCCCCTCGGAGTTAGATTGACTCGGCTAGCACGCTAGGTTAATTGGTACCCAGTCTGTGTCTCACTTTTGCTGAGATTACCGCATATACAATAAAAACTTATACTTGTGGTTGTATTTTTCTGGGAAAAGCATGCAATTGAACTATTTATGTATTTTTGCAGCGTATCCAATTAACTGTTCAGTTTAATGTATCATTTGGTATTTATTTAAAAGTCATTTTATATTATAGCATAACTGAACATCCTTCGCTGACGCAATGAACACCGTAATACAGTCGTAGGTCTATAGCCTGTACAGTATGTACAAATGATCATTTAGGCACAAGTATCTTCTTGTTCTTTTTAACAGTTCGTATTGGCGTTTTATTTTTCTCCATTTTACAGATATAAACGAGTGTGCCAGCAGTCCCTGTCAAAATGGTGCACGTTGTATAAATGCAGTGAATCGTTACACCTGCCAATGCGCAGCCGGTTATACAGGAGTCAACTGTCAGAACGGTGCGTTTGAGAAATTGCTTTTACCTCATGTGCGTGTGGGTGGTTGGGCCGGATTTAAAATTCCCCAAAATTTTAGGCTAATTATTTAGAACAGTCATAAAACAGCGCCCTCTGCTTAAAACACGCCGCTATCGCCCACTTGTATAAGTACGTTTTTGATAATAATATTCAATAGTATACGTCAATTGTGTCAATACTTTTTACGTCATGTGTACAATTTTATTTCGTAATTAAGTGTTGCTCAGTTCTCAAGACATGGTTCTGTACAAACAGAAGTTTCCATGGACAGTGGTTGCAACTTCCTCAAAACACTGAAACTTTAATTGTAGCAACTTAACTTTATTTTCTATTGATGCAGTGTTTTTATAGTGTTATGATAACCCGTTAAATACAGCAAAATTAATTCAATACAACAAATATGATTAAATGCACATTTTTATCCTAAAGATATTAACGAATGCAGCAGTAATAATGGCGGATGTGCACAGCAGTGTGTTAATTTGCGAGGTTCCTTTGCCTGCAGGTGTAGTAGTGGATACAAACTCGCGTCGAACAACAGAGGATGCGACGGTAGGTGGCATTCAAAACGAAGATAATCCGCAGTCGGCACAGTGTACAAAAGCAATTATAGTACCTTTAATATATTATCGTATTGTCTTTAATCTGGATGCTAGGTGTACAGTTTGTATTACTGGCTGTATATTGAAGAAGTTTGATCACGTTTTTATTAGATAAATGCTTTTTTAAGCTTGATGGAGCAATATGACATATCGCAGCAAAGTGGTTGTCTTCTTTCAATATAGATATACTTATCTAATGTTTATTTCAAAATACTGTCATTTATGACCATTCTCTGCAGACATAGACGAATGCGCTTCCGGCAGTTCTGGTTGCGCTCACCGTTGTTCAAACACCGTCGGCGGCTTCCAGTGTAGCTGCAACGCCGGGTACACCTTGGACGGCGACGGCAAGACTTGCAATGGTAACTGTGCAAATATTGTATAATACAGATTGCCCAAAAAGCATGCAGTGAAAACTATATTCTTTTTAGTTTGCGTTAGCAGGTAAAGACACATGAAAGCAGGGGGAGTTGGCGAGGGGGGTGGGGGGCGTGTTCTAAATTACCGCGCCATTTGGCCGTGAAATCTCCGTTCTGATTCAAAATTTGATCTAGGTTTTATGATATTTCACAATATGGGTCAACTAAGGGTATACTACTAGCGGTAAAGAGGATCACTTAAAAAAGATTACATTTAAAAAAATGGTGGTTACAGGCCTGCACAATCTATACGTTGCAGACATTTTACACTTCAGTGTGTAATTCAAACATCAAGCTGGACATCGTATCCCGTTTGTGTGCAATTTCTTTGATTTTGATGAATTTAAATATTTGTAGAATTGTGTTGAACACTTTTATCTTATTTTTTTCTTTCTAACTTGGGTCTTACTCTGTCAACCCAAACGTAATTCATCAAATGTGAATACAAAATTTGATTCGTATGTGAAACCCAAATATGTTTACTAATTAGATATATATAAGTACTCATATTTATACATGTATTTGGACTTATATCCTTCCAAGATATATGAGGCATATGGACAGATATCAGTAGCAATCTGTATAAAAAAACAGTACATTCCCATCCCCAGGGTAGTAAGAGTACATGTAGATATTAATGGTTACCTAGGAGTGATATGACTGTTTTGCTATTTTTAGAGCGTCTTTAATTTTCATATATGGAAATTCGAATTTTAGATGTGAACGAATGCCAGAAAAATGATGGTGGATGTCAACACACTTGTGTGAACGAGGTCGGTTCATTCCATTGTGAATGTAATCCCGGTTTTACCCTGCATTCAGATGGCAAAACATGTGTAGGTAAGTATAAGTTATCTGTGGTTAAAATGTATCGTGTCTTGATCTATATTTAAACCAGCAATTTTAGTTTTGTGTGGTACAATGCCCGTGCTGCTATTTGTAACACATACGTGACACCTCGGTGCATGTGCACTAGAAGCATCTCTAAGATGGCTTGAAAAAAAAAAACAATAATATAACGTAATCTGTGCTGGCTGTGCTGTCACTGATATGATGTTGTCCAAATATATTTCATAGTCAAAACGAAAAGTTATTATTTTTTTGAGATAATGCTTTTTCCAACTTAATCCGTCTCCGAATTGACTGGAAGAGCCACTACATTGTTTTCAGACAAGGATGAATGTGCTCTCGGCGTGGCCAGTTGCCACGTGCTGGCATCGTGTGTCAACACCCAGGGGTCTTTCTCTTGTGTCTGCAACTCTGGATATACTGGGGACGGAACCACGTGCACTGGTAGATATCCTTTGTCACTGAATATACAAGCGGTTTCAAAAGCCCTTTTTTTTTCAAAAAACAGAAAGGCAGGATCCGCTAATTTTCGAGTTATTTATTATCTTTATTTTAAATTCATTTTATTAATTAATGTATCTTTATTTATTCAGTTGTTTACCTGTTTGTTTGCTTGTTATCCCCTGTCCCTTAAGTGTTGGAAAACATATTCGCCTTCTGTTTTAATCTGGGCATACCTCATTTATACCCCTTAACAAACACCCACCCTCAGCAAAAGCTCACATTTGCCTGTGGTCAAATTGCGATTCCTTTCAGATCTCGACGAATGCGTACCATTGAACAATGGAGGATGTGACCAAGTGTGTTTAAATAACAGAGGTTCCTTTAGTTGTGACTGTAACGTCGGTTATCAACTGACGGGTGACGGTGTCACTTGCCAAGGTAAGGCCAAATAGTTAACACAGGTACTGTTGTTTAATACATGAAGAAAATATTTTGTAATCTACATGTAGGAATGCAAAGTAAGCATTTATTATTCTGCATGGTAAAATGATGTACTAGTAAGGCAACATATATTTATAAAAATTAAACGCATTTTAAACACAATACAAAAGTGATGTACCAAAACGGGAAGGCACTTTAGGAATTTTCTTTCGTACTTTTACTTGACTAAAACGTATACTAGTTGTATGGTTCCCAAGCAAACTCATATCTTTGTCTTAAATCAGTTTTAGTCAATATGCAGTATTCTTCTCAATGTTCATTTTTGCATGTTTTTAAAATTAGTTTTCCTTTTCGTTGACAGATATCGATGAATGCCAGCAAAACATCTGTTCTCACTTTTGCACGAACACAAACGGATCTTTCACCTGCACCTGTCAGGCCGGCTATTTGATGAATGCAGATGGGGTCACATGCGATGGTAAGAGAACGATAGATGGCGTGATGTACATGTATTTTTTTATGTGACTGATAATTGGCGTTTTGTATGATGGTGAGTGAGAACAGGTGGCGTGGCAATGATACACTTCAAGGTACGGAGTGTGGTAGTCTAACGGTTCTAGTAAATGGTATGTTAAGGGGTTAATAAGCAGTCTATGAAGCGACATCTCACAAATATAAGAGGGACACATATGCAATTCCAATATATTTCAAATGCAAAAATCTACAGATGATATCTTTTGGTCTCTTTGCCCTAGCTGACTGAGTAAAACGCATCATGCACCACGTGCTACTTCTATATAGGACAGCGAAAAAAAGGTCGTAGTACATGTACGTAGCACTACACTGTATATATCCTGTTGTGTTGTATTACAGATGTAAATGAATGCAGCACCAATAACGGAGGCTGTGCACAGGTGTGTAACAACCTACCTGGTTCCTTCCGGTGTGAATGTAGCCCGGGATACCAGTTTGGACAAGACGGTATTACGTGTGAAGGTAAGTGCACTTCCATAAAACACTTAAGGTGCATTCACAGAGATTTAGATCGATCCATCCGGGTCGACCTAACTCCCTCGGATTCAAGCTAAATTGCAGTCAGCCGAGCGCGCACGACTGTTAATTACCCCCTTACAGCTTTTAGTAGGCCGGACAGACGCTTAAGCCGGCTAAGCTGACAGTAATCTAGTGAGACTTCCCACAGGGATAGATCGATCTAAAATCTGTGGGAATGGGGTATTAGGCACGCTACAGCCTCGTGACGTCATGTCGACACCATGCAGATGCCACAGTTTATTATGCACCTTTGTCAAATCCATGTGAGTCCATTTTAAAGTTGATATTTAGATATTTCTTGAAGGAGAGCATGTGGTGATCCCCAGAATGTTGCATATAATACTGCATGCATTTTTTGTCCTCGTTTCTGTTACAGATATAAATGAATGCAACTCGTTCAATGGAGGGTGCCAAGACATTTGTGAAAACACCCTGGGGTCATTTGTATGCAAATGTAACATTGGGGAACTCAGCAGCGACGGCCTGAGCTGTGAAGGTAATGGCATTTAAAAGCTCTTTATCATATTTCTATAGGACCGATTTACTTATAATTAGGTATATAAGAAAACAAAGTCAGATTGTTTGTTTTTAATGGAATGTCTATTCGCAGAAAATAATTTTTGAATAATTGCTCTCTTTTTTATTTTTTCTTTTATTTATTTATTTATTTATTTTATTTATTTATTTTTGACAAATAAATGTGTTTGCCTTTAATTAAGCACATAATGTGTATATCCATTATTATTATTTTTTTTTTGGATTGAACACTTTACAGATAGTTTAAATGTGATCAAATGCTGCGGTGATTTAGTACAAATATGATATTGTATAATTTACAGTTCAATATTCTCAATGTATTGTATATATGTTGGTTCCTGTTATTCTTCTAATACATAATTTTCTTTACCTCAATCAGCAACCAAGGAACCAAGCGTGTTCCAACGTAACAGCATAGCTCGTAAACTTTTGCCACGAGGGTGTGCTGTGGTCACACTGACTCGTTGTACAGAGGGCGCTGATGTAGAAGTCCGTCTTTCATCCACAGCTGAATGGTACAAGTTGACTTCTGACCCCAATATCATATTCACACTTGGTATCGTCTTTATTGAAGTGAACGACATTGCCCTTCCAATGTCAATCACGGGTATGGAAATACACAATCCTAATGGTAACTTCATGATGCAAATGGGATCTTTGACTTATGGCGAATCGGACGGAACCGTGCTGGCAACCGACCGAAACAATGATTGCCTTTCATTTAATCTAACGCCTAGAGATGTGTTTGACTTTGTTTCATCCGGGTCTTTCTTGTCGACATTCTTGGAGAATATCTACAAAGCGCTGCCGAACTGGATCAAATTCACGTCAACGGGTTTCGATATTCTTTCAATCAATCAACTGAAGACGGACCTTTTGCATGGGCGAGATGTTCAGAAAGTACAGGCATGTCGTGGTGCGCCTTTGTTCGATAACAAACTCTACACCATCTTCCAGTTTAGAAGTGGTTTCAGCCTTAGCGTCTATGGCAACGAAATATCTCTCCCAAAGCCACTGAACGGAACTGAGTTTTGTCTTATCGTTGACATTTGCAGAGCCTATGGCGGCACGGTTTTCCTAATGTTTCCTCCGGGATCTAGAGAGCTTCTCAGTCAGCTGAAGGTGATAAGTGATATGGAGGAGAAGGGTGGTTTTAAGTTGTTCCTTAATGGTATTGGTTTGTCAATAGTTAAGGAGATAAACGTACACTACACAGCGTCAGAGTTGACGTTCTGGAATGGGGATGGATTCTTCCAGTACCCGTAAGAAATTACCCATGCTATTTTTCATGCCATTAATCGTTAGCAATTATCATTTCATAAAATTCCAGAAAAAAACATATTGAGGGTATCTTCCCTTTATTTTGTTACCGAATTGTATATCTGATGCCATCAATTTCTTATTTTTTGTTGCTTATTTTTTTCTTTATACTTAAGGAGTTATAATTAATAAAGGAGTTATAATTAATATTATATATATCACTCGTGCTCTAAATATATACAGATTGACGCAGAATACTTTATGTATGAAAACAAGTTAAGATATTTTCAAATTATATATTTTATATTGAAAATAAAAATTATCATTTTAGAGTATTCCCAAAAGCGCACATGTGGCTTGGTGGTGGCATTACCAAGAATACCAGCGTCTACGACATCTCCGCTGAAACCGATATTTACCTAGGATTTCCCCGTAACCCACTCTCAGTAAGTTATCTAGTTAGATACACATCGCAATGATCACCAGCTTACCTTAGCAGGCCTAAAGATATGATAAATCTTAATGTGAATAATAAAGAAGAAACGGAGAATATATGGTAAAACAGGTTACGAGATTCACAGATTTAAACCGGTGTGATATCTATGTCTGTCCTTTAATAAAGATTCAGAGTAGTTGCAGTTTTAACTAAAACTTATATCCCACTTTCAAAAAAATGGGGAATTAGCAAATCCCATAACACCATGTTTGTATTATGTATCCATATTATTTTGCGTGTTGATTTTAAAATAACGTACATGTATCAGCCCCATCCCCTTCCATAAGAGTTATTATATACAGCTGTGAAAGCCGGATAATAGCCACTTGCCACTGATAATTACTATCATGCTGAGTTTGGTACACCATAATTTGATCATTTCAGCTTCTTTCTCACGTATTCTTAGAGGAGTGGAATGCTATTGTGAGACTCAACGTAGTTGCATCGTGCACCCTAAAGTTTAAGTTGTTAGGCAAGCAGCGAAGCATACGATTACAAGAGCTGGGCGTCTCCAGTCTGGAAACACACATTTCAGTCGGCGGTTAGTGCTCTCTTTCCCCCTTTTACTCTCTCTCTCTCTCTCTCTCTCTCTCTCTCACACACACACACACACACACACACACACGAACATATTGAACAAGTTCTTGTTTCCCAACAAAGTTGTTAAAATGTGAATCACCCCGTTCTTACCAGGCCTAGAACCCAGACAGTGGTGCGGAGCGAACGCCAACCCTCCAGGTATCTTCCTGTCACTTCGGCTCAGCATCAACCCCTTCAGGAACATCCCCATACTAGGTAAGTCAAATTGTTTAAAGAGCAGATTAATGTTCTGAAAGCTGTGTATTTGTTGATTTTAACATAAAAATTTATTTTGTCATTTCTTATAAGTTTAAATTTCCCATTACCGAGAGGAAAATGTCGGTTTTATCGTAACAATTATTGGTAGACAAACACAGATGTACTGGTATCTTTTGGCCGCATGAAGTGAGACTATAAAAGAAGACATTTTGGCCAAAACAAGTTAGCTTTATAGCCAGATCGCGGCTGTGGTTTTACGATTGACAATTTGCCTTTAATTATCTAGCGCTGTTGAAAACAGTCTTAACCTTGGGCTAAGATTATACGGCTAAAGTATATATGCAAATGCAACTCTGCGATATTGCATTTTCCAAGAGTCTTATTAAATAATTGACCACATTAAACAGATTTTACGTACGTGAAAGACAAAAAAAAAAAAAAAAAAAAAAAAATGAGCAGGCGAGTGTTTGCTAAAGGTACCTTTTAAGACTAAGGCATGGTAGGTTAATATGTTAGTCCATAAACACTTTTGTGAAACAAGCCTCAGATGCCAGAATCACGTCTTAACCGGTATATCGTAGACGTGTGACTCTATACAATGACATTTCCATAATATTGACATTTGTCAAACAATGACAAGGGGAAGCCTCGTGTTTTCATTTGTTCATTATTCTCAAAACAATAGGTCTTTTGCAGAAAAATCGAATATTGACACTCAAAAAAGGGGGTAACAGTCACTTATGAATTAACTGAATTATTTATTCCCCACTAGGTGATTGGGTGTTCTATAATCGACACTCGGTCTATGCTTTCGTTACCTACGACCAGTCGGGCAAGATCAAGAACCTGCCGACTGTTGATCTTCTTCAAGACATCGTAGATATCCAGCAAATCGTGAATCATTTTATGGAGGTATGCAAAGTTAATTACAATGGCAATCATGGTAATATCAAAATCAATATTCGTTCACTATTTAAAAATTTGTCAATCTGTATAAAAATATGTTATTTTTATGTGTTATGTTTAAAGAAGGGCAAGTGTGCGTATTTGGGCTGTTTAGAAAATGAACGTTACATATTATTCATTTTTATCATGCCAAATATCAATGATTGGTTCCAGGTGCTAAATCAAAATCTAGAGAGGTTCAAGGGTCTTCTCTCCAATACAGCGGCAGCACTGCTTAATTTAGTTCACACCGCCCTCGCTGATCTTAAGGCTGCCATTCAGGAAATTGTAGGCGATTTGCAAAATCTCACATTCCCCGATTTCTCTGTCGTATTAGACACCATCCGTAATGCATGGACTGTCCTAAAAATGGCATCACAGAACTTCCTTGACGCCGTTGAGTTCAATATTGAAATCGCCAAACACAACTTTACGGAGATGATCAAATTCGAGGTAAATCGCATTAAGGGAATGTGGATGCAGCAATCGAAAAGGCGCTTGGTGAGGTAAATTCGGCCACTGATGATATTTCTGGGTTCGGGGTACGCTACAAGACGACCATTAAATTTTTAGGTCTGGAGATATATGGACTTCAAGTTGAGTTTGTTTACTCATTGGGAAAGATGGGACAGTGTAGCAGGTTTCAGAAGGTCTACCAATTGTTAGCTGGAGAGAAAGCAGCCCGGGTTTTGGCATTCGTTTCCACGGGACAGAACCTGGGTTATTTCTTGAAATTAAAGAAAGGGTCGGGAGTCGGAGCTGCCTTTAGCATTGACCACGATGTAACTATTCTTCAGCTTCATGCTGAGGTCGGTTTATTGGGCATCAAAGCTGAAGCCGACGTATTTTTATCAAAGAATGGCTTGGCCACTTACGTTGAAGGTAAGGTATGGAGTCTCTTCCGCGCCCGGTTGACGATGTCGGCCGAGCTTGGTAAAGAGTGGTATCAACTGACATACATTGTGGAGGGTTCACTACTGCCTGGCGGAAATGACTCTTTTGAAGGGAGCTTCCTTGACGCGCTTAAGGAATTTGCCAACAACCTTGCCAACGAAGCCAACAAACGAGTAACCCAAGCACAGCAAGGTCTAACTTGGGCTCAAGGTAAGCTAACCAAGGCCCAGAACTGGCTTGAGGAGAAAAAGGCAGATGTTCGCAGGGCAAATGGCGCATTTGATAGCGCCGTTGCAGCTCTAGAACGTGCCAAGCAGAAACTGGAGGCCGCAAAGGGACCTTTCCGCAGAGCTCTGGAAAAACTGAAAGCTGCACAAAAGGATGTAGATAGTCTGTGTAGGATAAGAGATTGCGGGAAAATCTGTATACCAGGACTAAAATGTAAATGGTGCCATAAGAAAGTCTGGGGAGTCAGAATCCCTTACCCTTGCTGTAGGTGGACAAGCTGCATGGTCGAGATACCGGATCCTATCTGTGTGGCTGCTAATGTGGTCTGTAGGGGAATCCGGTTGGTCGCATATGGCGCCCTAGAAGTGGCCAAGATAGCTGTTAAAGCCCCTATGGTCGCCCTGGATGTTGCCAAGGCCGGTATTTCGGTGGCACAGATCGTGGTAGACAAGTCGAGGGTGGTGTTGGACATCGCAGTAGGTGCTTTGGAAGTGGCCAAGATTGCATTGGAAGGCGTTAAAGCGTCATTTGATGTTGCCAAGGCCGCTCTTGAAGCAGTGAAGTTTGCAGTTAGAGCGGCCTTCAAAGTGTTTGAGTTGATCGCTTCAGGGCTGCAGACTATAATAGACGTTAGGCAGTGTGGGTTCCGTGTGGAGCTTTCTACTGTCGATTTACCTATTTTCGACGTGTCGTGTGAAGTCAATGCTTTCCGCCTCGGTTGGAGAACCGTAGGGATAAGGATCAACTTCAAAAATATAGTGCAGAGCATATTAGAAGCAGCTAAAGCTACCGTAAATGCACTACTCGATGCACTCAAAAACACTATTAGCGGACGAAAACGGCGCGAGATAGAGTTTGACGTGAACGCCAAAATGCACACCTTATACCGGGTGATTCGCCAAACTGGCAGCATCGAAGCAGGAGAACAACTATTGAATGAAACCCTCGACGTAAAGGATAGCATCACTGGCTTCAAGAACAGCACCAATGAGGATCTCAACAACCTTAGTGATAAGGAAAACAGAGTTAATATATTTGCAGAAAAATGTGAGACTTTTAACGAAGCGGAAGGATTTCTGCGTCGCGTTTTTGACTCCCTTTTAAGTGTTGCAACTGACTCCAAAGCATCGTTAGACAACGTGACAGCCATGCTGGAGACCTTCCCAGATGTCGACACCCCTCAACTATCAAATGGATCATTGGCGTCTTTCGGGGTTAATGTCACGGTCGGTGAATCTGATTACAATCTGACGGCTGAGGAGATGGAGGCGACGTTTTCGGAGACCATGGCGAACATCAAGGATGATCCGGAACTGAAAGAGGCCCTGGGAGCCTCTACGTTCGCCAAGAGTATAATTTTGCAGGAAACAGAACAAGCAACGAAGATGGCGTTAGTGGAAATGTGGATCAGTGTCGCAGAAAATATTACGTCAACCACATATCCGACGGATGTTTGTGCCAACTTCAGAGATTGTGTGTTGTACGATCTTGGACGTTTGTATGACCTATATGACACCAATCTACAGTTGCTGGGTGTCCAAAGCATCAAGGGTTATCTTCCCACTCTGGAGAATTCAATCCTTGCACTTGTGAACAGCGTGGAAGGCATCGACGTCAATGAAGCTTATCGACATAGCCGAGAGATCATGGATCTTCTTGATAGCATCAAGTCCCATGATGTTTTCTGTAAAACCGCACCGCAAATCATTGCGGGACCTAGAAACACCACTGTTACGACTGGAGAGTCAGTGCAGTTCACATGTCAGGCAACTGGTGATCCCACACCGGACTACTCCTGGTTTAAGGATGGTGAGGCTCTGGGAATAACCTCGAAGACCTTGCGCTTGAAATCGGCGTCAGATTCTGATGCAGGGGCGTACTCGTGCCGAGCTGAAAATTACATTGCTGGCGATGACTCAGAACCTGGATACCTAACTGTCACTAACAATGGTAAGGAGGGCATCTCTCTCTCTCCTTCTCTCCCTTTCTTTCAGGGTGTGTTCACAATAGAACTAACTCTTTAGGTAGATCGATCTAACTCCGCGAGATTTCTCGGTGAATGCAATCAGATTAGCTGAATGACACGACCAGTCAACAACCTTTCTGTATTCTATTTGATGCCGTGAGGAAGCGTGTAAATATTTTTATCTGATTGCATTCAGCGAGAGTGAATGCAGAGTTTGATACCAAGTACCCCATTTTCATTGTTACGCATTGCGAATCGACTTGGTTTCCCACCGTTAGAATATTTATATGCGTGTAGGCAAACTACAAATACAACGACGAACCCAGACCATTAGACTCAACATTTATATCTAGACACATTCAACTGTAAGAAAACGTACAGCCACACAGACAGTTGATAAAGCAATAATCCGATTCCTTTTTTCCAGTAATTTCGTGTCCGACTGCTTTCGCCATGATGCCCCACCCCTTCGACTGTAGAAGGTTCGTTGTGTGCGTGTGGTCAACACCCGTGGTCATGACCTGCCCCAGTAGCCAAGATGGTCATCTGGTGTGGGACCAGAGCCAAGTGAGGTGCAACTACGTCCGGAACGTACCGCGATGTCAACATTACCAGCCCGGCGAGTGAAACCAGGCGTTGATCACGTGAATACCATGTTGTTATCACGTGATAATGATATAGCAACGTATAAGCAATATTAAGTTAATCAGGCATGTTTGAAGTGAGATGCTCTTTCATGCGCTCTTACGCGTAATATAATACATTATTTGACATAGGTATTCATATTATCTTTAATTACTGGTCTGCTTGTAGAAAAGAACCCTTCGTAGACTGAGACTTTGCCTAAAATGCAGTACTTTACACATCTATACAATGCTGTAGCCCTGTTAAAAGACCTTATAGAACAATACAATGTATTTGTTAGCTTAATTTGTTATAATTATTATCGTAAAACCGTTATGTGTACCAATTTTAAAGATTGAACAACTGAAGTATAATTAAATATTTATATTTATAACCATCCGTAAGCGTTGTTTATATTTTGTAAAATGATATTTATATATGCTCTCTATGTACATTGCAACTAAGACAATAACAGTGAGGACGGATGGCCGCTTATAGCCGCAGCGCCTTTATGGGCTATTAACCGAAGTCAAGAATTTTCAGCCCAATTTGCCTACCTTTCTCAAAATGACGTATCTCATCAACTGTCTAATTACTTTAGGATCACCATGGAATGAAATTTTCCTTCGTCGTGCTCTCCGTAAGACTCCGAGAGCGCGTCGCGCACCGTTGGCGCAGTTGAGACACGAGCGCAATGGAGTGTCTCAACAACTGCATTCCGTCCTTTTATTCATTAAGGGTACTTTTTCACTGCTGATCATCGTCTCTAGACCACTTTCCATTCATTTAAGAAAATTTAATTCAACGCCTTTTGTCATTATATGCTGCGTTAACTAGTTTGAATTTTGAACACAACTTACGAATAATTCTCCTTCATGAACTTTTGAGTGTTATCATGTACTGAATGCCGTTTCTTTCTCAGCTAATGTTATGATTTTGATCCGATTTCGCAGCACGATTTGTTAATGTTATACAAATTAACCACAAAATAGGCCTTCTATGACCAAAATAGATATTTATCAGAGCAGAAAATTTAAACTGCAATGGTCAATATTTTAACATTTAAAATGGTAAAAATTCTCAGTTCAAAACTAGACAAATATTTGCAGTTGTGACGGGGCATCGATAATACCGTTCATATCAGATACACGTGGGTTATTTGTAGTGGATGAGGTGAAATATTTATCAATAACCAATAATCATTTACTTATATTGATTAACATAAGTTACATAATACCTAGATGTAAGTCCGGTATATATATATAAAATAAGTTGCATGCATGACTGCTATTTGAGACTAAACCAAGACTGGGAAAAGATCGAATTAAGCACATATCCACAGGACGACTGTTTTGGGTATAGCATTTAGCAAAACTTTAAAGGACCTCCTGATAAATATTTCAGATCAATTAGGCCAATTCATGTGTACAGTCACCCGTCCGCCCCTTTCTGATGCTTAGAAATCTTGAACCTAAGTAGTTATCAAAGGCTTATTAATCATTAACTGTCCAATTTATCAGTTCTGCCATAGAGTATTATGTATTCCGATAACCTGGTTCTTCAAACTAACTTGAGAACACCTGACGCCTGTCATTTGAGATCATCATAAGACTCATTTAATTTGGACGTGCTTTGTCTTCAGTTACGGTATATAAATCACTGTTCATTGTAATATAAAAACTTTGATATCACATCAAGAACAAAACAGGACAGTATATAAACATCACGATGAAGATATTGCTGGCTGTATGTGTTCTTATCACCGTCGTCACCGGGCAGACAACGTCGCCATTTCCCAGGTATTTAAAAAAGTTATCCTTCAGCTGTCTCTCGTTTTAAGCTCTAAATTTTAATTGTTATACACTACTTTCTTAATTGTTTTATTTTCACATCTCAAAGTTTATTATTATTATTATTATTTTTGTTGTTTCTCTTTTTATAGCACTATTAAGAGCTCGGAAAGAATCCAATTCCTGGTGTACATTTTACATATACATGTAGATGTATGTATTAGCTGAATACATTATCATAACTTTATTTTTTAGAACAACCACTGGTAAAAGCTGTAACCTTTGCGACCAAAACGCCCAACTGCGAGATCTGCTCCAGTCGCTGGAAGGCACCCTTGCAGAGGTGTCCCAGCAGGTTATCACGGTCGTATCCCAGCTCTCCGCTCAGGAAAATCGACAATCTGCCATGAGGGATGAGCAGAAGAAGATGTCCACCCAGATCGCAGAGCTCGGCATAAAACAGAACCAGGTGTTAGAAACTCTGGCGTATCACAACGCTTCCTTGGCGAGAATTGAGCAAGAGTTCCAGTCGATGGCGTACGGCGTGGTCGGTGACAGGCAACTGCTGGGGAGACAGGAAACCTACATCAAAACCCTCACCGGTTTGGTCACAGATCAAGGCAAGCTCCTGGCAGCCCAGATTCAAAAGCTGGACGATGAGAAGAAGCTTCTGGAGAGTTTGAAGAGAGACCCGACTCATTGCACGAGAGGTAACACAGTAGATGTGACTCACTGACCATATCTTAACAGATTGTTGAGAGAGAGAGAGAGAGAGAGAGAGAGAGAGAGAGAGAGAGAGAGAGAGAGAGAGAGCATTGGAGAGGTAAAAAAAGTTGTGTAGACCGGAATTTTTATCAGAACTGTATTATTGTTTTATTATTTTATTGTATTAAATACAAAATTGATTCAGTTAAAGCAGGATATCAGTATGACAGTTCACCTCGTCGTGGATCCAGGTTTATTTGAAGGGGTGGGGCGTTTTTAGGAATGACAGGCCTCGAATGCGAGGCTGACAATCGCCCACTTGACATGGGATTCGGAGTTCGCTGAAGGGTCCCTATAACGTTTAGCGTTTTGGGGGGCAAACGATGCAATTTGGTACAGTTTAGAACTATGATTCAGGTATTACATGTAGTGGTCAAAATCTGAATAAGTAACAATTTCAGAACCCCCCCTCCCGACCCTCTCCCCCAAGTTAGACACTGCACTTCGTGAGGAATAATTAATTTCATTACATTGTCATTATTCCAGCTGGAGTCTTTCATGCACAGTCGCCAAGCGGAGGCTACCAGTTGACGTTTGAGGACGCGAAGCAGCTCTGTGCTAAATATGGCGCTGCTATCGCTACGCATGCGCAGTTGACAGCAGCATGGAACGACGGCCTTGACGTGTGCGCCTGTGGTTGGCTAGCCGACGGAGATGCAGGATATCCCATCCACAAGGCCCGCCCAGGTTGTTTGTCTTATGCCGGTATCCATAGTGGAAGTAATAGTTGGTGTAAACAGTCGCTCATTGCAAAAACAGGGCGTGCTGACGTGTACTGTTTTAAACAGTAGACAAAAGACATGACATGATGTGTGATTTTAGCATTTCTATTTAGAAAGTATCATAACTGATTATATCTTACTTGCAATTGGTTTTATATGAAAATTAGGTTTCTTTATATCTCGAATCACAATCTTAAAATCGTTCCGATTTTATATATCTTGATAATTTTGTATTTAATCAGTACTTGAATCTTTATATGTTGTTCTACCAAACATTTTAGACATAAGATGAATTTATTATTATTATTATTATTATTATTATTATTATTATTATTATTCGCAGCAGTAGTTGGAGTAGTAGTAGTAGTACTCTTGAGAATATCCAACAGTTTCATCAGCTATGTAATTTCAACAGACACGTGGCAGTTAGTTTTCGATTACATGAAGAATAAACTGATACTTAACCAGCCATTATTTTGTCTGCTTACAGACAAAATCATACACCAGAAATACAATGGCTGTTAAAATATGGAGAGATGTTGCATACAGGTGTATTCCATTGCTGAGTCGAATTAAACAAAGGAAAATGAGCGTCACTTCTCAGCTTCATCGGTAGCACGAAAATCCATGCGTTAGCACTCCAATTGACGATTCTGATATGTACTGGCTGTGTATCAGAATAGTCAATAGGAGTGCTAACGCATGAATTTCCGTGCTACTTCACCGGTACTTTGTGCTTTGAGAGATTCACAATTGTTGCTTCTTTGTATACGCTTTCACACCTAGCCAGGATTATTTGAAGGGGGCGCTTATGCGAAGCCGACCTCCTTTTTTCGGTTGGGGTGGGCTTATTGGTTATTTTAAAAATTTAAAACTTATTGGTATTGGAGAGGGCGAACGGTGCCATTTGGTACGGTTTAGTACCATAAATCGGGTAGTCAAAATTATAATTCCGATAGGGGAATATACATTGGTCAAAAAGGTTGTCCCACCCCTATTCCCATGTACTTTTATTTACAAATGATCACCTCACAGCTGTAAATTGTTATAAATAGTGCTTTTTATTACAGATACCGTGTCTAACATGATTAATGGTTAAAACAATATAAAACAGTGATGAAAATGTTCATATTTTATACCATTTAGTAAAATTTATGAGGTATCCCCTAAAATCCACTGTTTCACTGTGACTTCTACAGATGTAAAGAAATGTCTTTTAAATTGAAAAGACGCCATCAAATGTCAACAAATTCACACAATTATCATAAGGATGTGCTCGTTAAAGACCACGTGCCTAACAGCGTGTGCGTTTACCGCGTACTGCAATTATCTCCGGTAGACGGCGCGACAAGCCTTCAACAAGGGTAACAATTCTGTTATGTGGGCTATTGATTAACCTAACCCTAACCCTAACCCTAACTCTAACCCTAACCCAAACCCAAAATTTAACACCTACCGTAACCCTAACCCTAACCCTAACGCTAACTTTAACCCCAACTGTAACACTTACCCTAACCCTAACCCAACCATAACCCTAACCCCAACCCTAACCCTTACCCTAAACCTAACCCTTACTTTAACCACAACCCTAACCCTAACCCAAACCGAAAATCTAACCCTAGGTTAGGGTTAGGGTTAGGTTTGGGGTTAGAGTTAGGGTAAGGGTAAGGGTTGGGGTTAGGGTTGGTTAGGGTTAGGGCTAGGGTTAGGGTTAGGGTTAGGGTTGGGGTTAGGGTTAGGGTTAGGATTGGGGTTCGGGTTAGGGTTGGGGTTAGGGTTAGGGTTAGGGTTGGGGTTTTGGTTAGGGTTAGGGTTAGGNACCCTAACCCTAAACCCTAACCCTCATCATAACCCTAACCCTTACACTAAACATCTTTTTTGAAGCATACATGTAAATTTAAATATTAAAAAATATAATGGCTACTTATAATCCATAATGTTTGTTTAATGTAACTTTTGTTAAAATGCAGCCGTTTTTAGCCCAACTTGTAATTGGATTCCTGAAAAACATGCCGGTACACTAATGAATTATCGAATTCCAACGACTGCAGAAATAATTTTTCATCTATGAATGTGACAATGAGTGCACTGGAGATATAGAAAGAACACTGGAATCTAGGATCATAGACTAAAAGAGACAGAGCTCCACCACATCAGATGAGTCTAAACACAGTTTAACTGGGCACCAGTTCCCATGGGAGACAAAGATCTTGATCAAGATCCATCATGGTATGGGAGGGGAGTCAAGGAGGCAATTTACAACCCAAACCTAAACAGAGACTGGAGGAGACACCAATTGTCACCAATTGTCACACATATTAGTATCCTCTACATGAGAGCAGTAAGCCAGAGCCTGCCTCGCCTAGATCAGCCCAGCTAACCCCAGCACTACTGTACCCAATACACCGACACTACGATCAACAAAGAAACTGACCCTGCGAGACCTGGGAAGATGCCTTCGTCTTATTTATCTGTGAAGCAGCTTAGAGTTCACCAACCATGGCACATTGGGCGTTACTGCCCTGTCCAAACCTTCACAAGCAATTATATTAAAGACTGATGATCATTAAAAGAGGAAACAGGGTTTTATATAGTATTTGAAGGGAAGGCACAGTGTAATACGTGGCGGTGGGAAATTGCGCATTCCAAGCGGAAACCACTATCTTGCTATACTTTGGTTATTTTTTAGTCGGTATCTATTATGGTTTTCAGTGTATGCACATGCATCACTTAAAAGGGTCGTTGTTGAACCAAACATCAATGCAATGAAATTTGGGTATGCACAGCCATATCAAGCAATAATCAGTTCTGTATAAACAGCAATGTTAAAGTTTTTTTTTTGTTTGTTTTTTTTTTTATCTCATTAAAATGGGTTGGAACATATATCAAGTTTAATTTAGCGCCGACTTTTTCCCAAATATCCGAACCTCCTTTGTAGAACCCTGTTTATGGAGAGGAGGGTGACAAAAGTATTGCACCTATTTGCTTGAAGGTGAAAAACAACTGATTTTGCTAGCTTTAAGTTGGTTCGCACTCATGTCTGGTTCCTGACTTGTTTGCCTGCTTATGAACGTAGGTGTGAGATTGTAAATTTTTACCTTCCCTCATTTATGCTATCTCATATATCCTTCCTTTATTTATTCGTTTATCATCTTATACGTCGCGATGTGCAATTTAAAGCGGTTTCAGTTTCCTTAGACTTCCATTTTTATTACCGCATTGTTTTGTTGTTGTTGTTATCGCTGTTGCTGCTGCTGTATATCAATGTACCTGATGACTATAAACCGTATTGATATCAAAATGGTTCTACATCTTTTGGTGAACTCATTACTCTCATCCTCTGCAGACAGTGCAAGTAAACACGGTAGACCAGTGAATAAAGGATGGACGTTACCACTCACTTTAGGAAATTAAACTTCGATTTTCTGACTCCAAAATGATCCCCAATTGAGACACCATAATAAACACAGCTATAAAACGTCCCCTTCCCTGCTACAATGTGATAGTACCTGGCTGTTCAAGCACCTTCTACTAGCATTATTCCCTAACTGTTACATTGCTAACATTTAGTTTAGAATACATTTCTCTGAGTTTCATATTTTGACACTTGGGTTATTCTGATTTTTGTTCCATGACGCTGTGTTATATATCAAATGCAAATGTATGACCAGATATATTCAGCTTTCATAATCTCTTCATCTTGGTACGAAGAAGAATTTGGAACAGGAAAGCCAATGTAAAGCAATCTCAAAATTACCGCGTTGAAAATTTGAGAACTTTATAAGTGAAAATAAAGTAAACACTAACCCAGCAAACACAGAAGGTTGCAACAACCTTAAAATCACGTTAATATAACCAAAAAAACAAAAACAATTACACTCTCGTAGCTATGAAAATACAACTTTAGACGACACATTAGGTTTGAGCCAAGCTAGTGAAGTAAGTCAATTATCTGTATATACGCGTTTTCTTTTACATTTTGACATTTTCCTTTTAGCTTAGCAGTAATTAAAAGGGTCCCATCATCTTAGTTACTACAGTTTATTTGGTATGAAATGAAAGGGATTGATGGAGGCTGCTGTGGCTTAATAGGCAATTGTCATAATCTTATTTAAGGATGGAAAAAAGATGAAAGCTTACAGGTCCACTTCGCTCCCTCAGTAGAAATACCATTTTGAGGTATTAGGAACAGTACTCTGACATGTTCTCTACCCCATATGTCCAGCCCACGCCACCCTCCCCTCTTTCTCTTTCGTCTTAGGGGCGTACTAGATGAATTTGTCGACAAATCTGATTGCATTTAGGAAGAGTCCCCGTGGAGCTAATGGGCATCAGCAAGGTGAACAGAATGCATTGTGAACGGTCACTTGCATCTGTCCATGTACGCACGCATAGTGCTGGCAAACTTGCGTAAACAGAAAGCTGCAACACATTAACGAGAACCTTGTTAGTACGAGTTCTTTCCTTTGGTTTGCTGCGCGACTGACTTGCGTATAAAGAGTTAATTAAAATAAGTTGGCGAGGAGTTACTCTCAGCTTTAAGGGTGCATTCCCAAAGATTAAGATCGATCCAAAGATTTAGATTTAGATCGACCTAACTCCCTGGGGGTTCACGCTAAATTGCAGTCAGCCGAGCGCGCACCATAGTTAATTACCCCCTTACAGCTTTTAGTGGGCGGGACAGAAGCTTAAGCCGCCTAAGCTGACAGTAATCTTGTGAGACTCCCCACAGAGATAGGTCGATCTAAAATGTATGGGAATGGGGTCTAAGATCCCATCTTTACTTTCTAATTTCCAAAAGCTGCTGCCTGCTGCCTCTGTTATCAGGGAACCGGTGTGCTGGTAACCTAGACAGTCCGTGGCATTTCCTGCAAAGCTGCTTTGACGGAAATTAAATGTATTCTTTATCACAATGGAAGCAAAAGAACATGTAGCTTTGTTGTCTTTTGAACTGCTTTCAACATTCCCCAAAAGTCGAGTTGGCCACCAAAGAAATGCCGAAAGTCACTCATGAAACATACATCCTATATGTAGGCCTAACGGATGAGGTTCCTATGTCCATACAGACAGCATCACTGTCAAAAAATGTTTGCCGGAAACAACAATGACGTGTTCCGCACTTGATTTAAAAAAATATTTGAACCGGAGGCAGTCCATGTTTAGATTTAAATTGAATGTGTATTTTTTTGTGCCATTCTAAAACATTTTAAGATTTAAGTTTTCCCAATTTGTTTATTTTTTTAAATTTCATTTACTTTCTTTCAATATTGTTACATCACATAATATGAATACTTTGTACTGTTTGCATACAAGCCAAATTATGCAAGAAAAACTTATATCTCTCTTTTTCTTTCTCTTTCTTTCTCTCTCTCGAGCAAGTAAACAACTAAAGCCTAGATTGCACTTGCCACGGGAAGCGTGCAATGAAATAGCAAAACATGTTCCTTACGATTTTGTTTGACATCGTAAGAATACCTTTACATCACGTGTGGACACTTTGTCATTCCTCCGATTTGACCTTGAGGTCAGGTAGAGAAAAAAGCGGGTATCGATTGAAGATTCCTTTCAGTCTCAGTGCAGTTCCCGCACGCCCTCCGTGTAGCTTCCGTGAAGGCCAACGCGTTGTCAGTACAGCCCTAAATACGATTTTAAGCACCAATGTGGTCAAAATAAGGAAACGTACAACTTCAAATCCATGCTATTTACTAAATTTTAAACATATTTTCTATTGCTATGTCTCCTTAACTCCCAAGTGACCGAGTGGGGTCATTTACGACCCCAGCCATATGATTTAATGTGCCATCTCTTTATTTTTTATTCGAATTTTCTTTCCTTGCATGAGTTTGTCAGTCTACTAATCCTACACACTATCACAGTTTTTTTGTAGGGATCAACCAATTAGTGTGGCGTATACATCACAAACTCTTGTGGGGTCATTTATGACCCCAAAGAGAACCGTTGGTTTTAAAATATTAGTTTTTAAATTTTATTCAAATGTTTTGCCCACGCAACACTGACAGGAAAATGTCACATGCATGTGCTTCATGAAACCAGCCAGTGTGCCCAAAACATATATAGGCACAAAGAAGTGGTTTGTGAAGATTGTGCTTGAAGTGTTACTAATAATGCATCGCTGAATTTAATTTCAGTAGCTTTGTTGGAAGTTGTTCTCATAACTGGGTCTCTCATTTTGACAGTTACAATTTTCGGGTATTTCAAAAATCTAAAGAATTCTGTCGATATCATATTACACATATATTAACAAATTGTTTGTGTGGATTTTGTTTTATACACAGATCTGGTAGTAACATACATGTAGGTTGATTGAATGTGTTCTGAGTAGTATGACTTCCTTACCAGCATATGGGTATTCCCTACTCAGCAAGTCAGCTAATTATTCTTATTGAAGTTAGCTGGATGCTATCTCAACATAAGTCAAAATATTTTTACTCAAAGCAATTTTGTAATGTACTTTTTTTCATTTTAGTGTGGCAAATAAAAAGAGAAATATTTCTGCAAGTGGAACCTGACAAGGACTGTATAAATACCGGAGTAATGTTGTTCTTAAAATCTGTGCTTGGTTATTTCATGCAATTTAAGTATTATTACCAAATAGTTTTAACATTAGATAGTTATAAAACACTTGTCTTAAATCCTGGGGGTAGAATAGGTGTGATGAACCCTCAACAGCCTTTTATCATAAGGATACCTGTACAGAGCACAATGGGGTCATAGATGACCCCACTTGGTCATTTCAGTCAGTAAAATAGCTTGGTCTCTTGAGCGTTAAACCACCCAAGGTGGAAAAGAAAGAGACCAACAGCGGGTTTAACCATTATCAAAATCACTGTAAGTTAACCGCACAATGCCGTAGGGGAACTGTGAGATGCAATCCTAGATAATGTAACATTGAATTACGTATGGTCTTCCGGTTTTAAAATTTTTCAAAAGTTTTAGCTTGACAAAATCGTAGAGGCTAGGAAGGCCATGTATCCGTACGATTTCACACGGCCATAGCCTGCCTCCGCACAGACGCTGCGCGGAGAGATTTACGGGCAATATGCGAGCTCCGTACGGACATCGCATGGAAAATGTAATCTAGGCTTTAGTAACACGAGTAGAAGCCAATATCCGTCTAAGCATCCATATATCAATTCATAAAGCACATTTATCAAGGGCCCATTGCGTCGTCTTGCTGATTGTGTCAACTTTAAGTTCCCAAGGTTAAGTATTCAGTGCGTCTCACAGGAATAGAGCCTCAAATGAGAGCGGGGCCTTGCAAATTGTAAGAAACAGATACTTCAATCAGCCTTGCAAGAAGAACTAGTTCAGTTAAATGTCGTATAGATAGACAGATAGATAGATAAATAGATAGATAGATAGATAGACAGACAGACACAGGTTTCTATTGTTTGTTTATTAAAGATCCGTCTTCTACAATAAGTCAACATATTCATATCTACATACAGCACATGTCTTGGTTCCATAATTACAGGTACACGGTACAAATAGACCCGTAGCAAGCATTTTTGAAGATTTTCTTAGTGACGAAGAGTCATCTTGAAACATGACACAAAAGTTTAATTCAAAGAGGATTTTTTCACCCGAAACCCGTACTCTACGGATCTGCCATGTCTTGGACTGATCATACACTTGGCCACGGTGACGTAGAACTTAGGGTGCTTCCCCAGAGATTTAGATCGATCTAAAGATTAAGTTTTAGGTCGACCTTACTCCCTGGGGGTTCACGCTAAATTGCAGTCAGCCGAGCGGGCACCATAGTTAATTACCCCCTTACAGCTTTTAGTAGGCGGAACAGACGCTTAAGCCGGCCAAGCTGACAGTAATCTAGTGAGACTCCCCACTGGGATAGATCGATCTAAAAATCTATGGAAATGGGGTGTTAAACACTTAAAGATGCTGCCTATTAAAACACGACAGCCATTTATTTAAAAGAAAAGCACATGCACACCACGTCAACAGCGAGCAGATCTGCCATACATTAGTTACTACAGATTAAGAAGAAGCAGTTAACAAGTGTTGCTAGATCAGTCATCCGCAAAGTTGACTTAAATCACATGGGTTGTCGAGGTACCCCGCTATGCTATGAATTAAAATTGGTTGTAAGATAATTTTAATTCTAAGGTTAGGGTTGGTAGGTCAGTCATCTGCAAATGTGTCTTAAATCACATGGCTTGCCCAGGTACTCTGCTATGCTATCAACTAAACTTGGTTGCAAGATAATTCTAATTCTGTGGCAAGTGTTGGTAGATCAGTCATCTGCAAAGGTGTCTTAAATCACGTGGTTTGCCGAGGTACCCCGCTATGATATGAATTAAACTTGGTTGCAAGATAATTTTAATTCAATGGTTTAAAACCACTTTTAAAAATTTACTATAAATAATAACAAATTCTGTGAACATGCTCACCAATGGAAAAACAAAAACACTGTGTACTTTGAAGGTCTAATGTCATTATGACAATCTAAAGAAAAAATTATTTGAGAAACCTGGCTGGGCATAAGTGAAATTTTGAATGCAGAGAGCAGGGTAGATCTCACGTAGGTCAATTATTATTCTGAAGACATGTTCGAGAACATCCTGCGCCGCCCAAACAGGATTTACATGATACCTAAACGACCAAAAAACAGCTGAGTTATGATCACGCAAGTAAAGATGAACTTTTGGTCGGCTTCAGTTCATTTGCGACTGTGGTCCTGGCGTGAAGAAGACATTAATTCTGCCAAAAGAGCCTGGTACATGTATTATGATGTGAACTCATACCTTTTGGCATTCTGTGGTTATTATAAAGCTATGAAGGCCGTTAGTCTAGGCTGGTTTCTGAAGTAAAAGCATATATCTACGCAGTTTTATTAAAGTGATATCGCTCTTTGGTGCGAGCGAAGCGTGTTAATATACAGCAGGTGGTGTTTTGTTATGGGTAGCGTTCAAATCGGAGCAAGCGACCAATTTCCTGGAATCTCACAAACCCTTACGCCGCATTTGCATCACTTGGCTGCAGTCAATTGTACGGTAGCAATTCAACTTACTTCAGTGGCTGAAAGTTAGTAGGAAGTCTTTATGGCAAAGCCGCAGGGTAATATGAGAGAAAATGGCCGGATTTAAGGTAGCAAACTTCATGTATTTCTAAAACTGATAAGTAAAAGAAGCACGTACAATTTACATGAAACATACGGTAACCCTGCTGCTCACGTGGTTAGTGAACACAGGCCTCAAAACGGCCCACACGTGCCGAACTAGGGCGCCGATGACAGCATTTTAGTCACAAAGTCATATAAATTATGTACGCTGTACGTATAGGCTCTTCCATAGACGTACCCAAAAACGCGCAGTACATCCCTTTCGCTCAACACGTATCACGCTTGGTACAGTCACTGCCTAAAACCTCACGATCAACTCAGATTTCCCAATGGAATTCACATGAGATAGTCCAAAGCGAGGCTGCGTGATGTCATACAAGGCTAGAATCCGCCTGAGGTGGGGTTTATTTTCAGCATCAAGTTAAAAAGTTTATTTCACTTTATATTCGTTGCCGCCCTATGCACAATAGTCTGGCATTATTTCTGACTCCACTCTCCTCAAATCTGTCGAAATCTCGCTTGGTTTTAGTCTAGTGCTTTTAATCCCAAGATACCACCAATCTGGGTGACACTTCTGGTATACCCGGTATGTCTTCCTGTCAAAAGTAAATCACGTGCCGTTGTCAGCTTTGTTCTTGTATGCGATCTACTGGTCACAAAATGGATAAACAATAATTTATAAATAATAAGATTAACTAATTCATTTGAAACGACAGTTTTTAGTCGCAGAGGAGGTTATTGTCGGCACTTTTGATCTCGGAGTACCGACAATTAGTGCTGAGTTCCGTGCGTGCCGTATTTTCCTCCATCATAACTGCTGAGCGCGTCTTCTTTCCCTTCCTGCAGAAACACAGTATCTTAAACAGCGCCTCCCTGAATTTCANCATTTGAAACGACAGTTTTTAGTCGCAGAGGAGGTTATTGTCGGCACTTTTTATCTCGGAGTACCGACAGTTAGTGCTGAGTTCCGTGCGTGCCGTATTTTCCTCCATCATAACTGCTGAGCGCGTCTTCTTTCCCTTCCTGCAGAAACACAGTATCTTAAACAGCGCCTCCCTGAACTTAACGTACACGAAGGCATACACTATAGGATTAACACAACTGTTAAGGAAGGCCAAACAGGTGGAGAGTATCTGCCCCAAGAGGAGAGCCTGGTATGAGGTGCCACTGGACGGTATAGTCCCGACCGCTTTAAAGATGAAGATAATTTGAGCTGGAAGCCAGCACAGGGCAAACATGAGGGTTACTATGACGACGAGCATGGTGAGGCGACGTTTTCCCGCGGTCCGAGTTAGAACGCTGTTGGCACTTGTTGTTGGCGTAGCTTTTGGTTCTGATCGTAGCCGCTTCGTTAAGACGGAGCTGACGTACCACAAGGCTGTAGAGGATGCATATCACTGTTAAAGGCAGCACGTAGGCGAAGATAAAGAAGCACAGATAGAACACTTGCGCGCGTTCCCTATCGACAAGTATGTTAAGGTCCACACAGCGCTGGTGAATCTTCCCCAGGTGCAGAAATGAGTACAGGTGATACTGCTGGTACGTCGGCACGTTCGCCAAAATGCACGTGACCCACGTGAACCCGATGACAGTGAGCACGCGCCTCGTGGTCCGCAAGGTCAGTGACCTCAGGGGATGGACAATGGCGATGTACCGGTCTACCGCCATCAGGACCAAGGTATAGATGCTTGCCCAGGCAGAGACGTGGTTGACGAAGGACGTGAACCGGCACCAGAAATCTCCAAACGGCCACTGGTCCATGTTGTAAGCGGCCCCCGTGAATGGAACACATACGACGATGAAGCACAGGTCGGCCACGGCGAGGTTGGCTATTAAGATGTTGGTAGTGTCCCTCATTGGTTTGTTACAGCAGACGATCACCAGAACGACACTGTTGCCAAAGAAACCCAGGAGAAAGACAACGGTGTACAGAACCGTCACAAATGTGTGGAATCCTTTTGGAACGTACTCAGGGTACTCGCTCGTGTCGTTCATGAGTGTTACGTTATCAAATGTTGTATTCCAATGAACAGGTGCCAGAAAGCCCGCTGTGTGGTTGCTAGAGTTCAAGATATCCATTGGCCTGTTACCCTGTTAGCTGACAGCTATTTGGTTGTTTGAAGTGGTGGTGCCCGAGCCAATTGTCCTGTACTGGGGACTTACGCATATGCAAAACAAGACTTGTCGGGTGGTCGACGTATTATTGAAATATCCGGCTGTTGTTGTGATAAGTATGCTAATATCCTAGGTGTCCTGTACTCCACATTTAACATGTAAAAAGTAAAGAAATTGCCTTTCCCCTTTGCGCTTCTGGTTGTTAAAAAATCCGTGACAATAACAATTCACTTAAAAACCTAAGTTAAGAAATTTTTTACTCCTCGTTCTTGTCATTGAAACGCAGCGCAGCCTTTTATTTCTCATTGAATCCCTTGGATTGGCGTAAACAAATTGCTCCGAATACAAGAGTCAAATGGACGCCCATTAAATTTCCCTTAAACAGTACTTGACTTATAACCTCATCGTTCTTGAATGGAATATATATTGGACAGAGTCAAATATCTTATTTTGCCAGAGGAATAGGGAACTGATAGATCACTTCAGCGCTGGCAGGGTGATTCACTTCCCCGCTGTAGGCAACGGCAAGGTTAAGTACCTGGCAAGGAATGTCATCTTCCAGCGGAACTGTAAATTAAATGTAAATGGCAATTTAGGATTTGTACTAGCATTCTGCTTTTTGGAAATGGTTTAATGACTAAATTACCATTTCTCCTGTAATAGGATACATTTTTCAAAGTAAATGTGCAAACCGGGGAAAAACTGATCACTCAATATATCAACAGGACATGTTCTTTTGCACGTTTCTCGCGATTTGTTGTCTCCTCTACTAGGCAGTAACCAAAACCTTCATTAATAAACGCATCCAAAGCAAAAACGGCGAAAAGACTCAATTTATGCTAGTGAGTGTAATGTAACCTAAAAGAGACGCACCCTACCTGTGTAGAGAATGTGATGATTACATCTTCATTTTTCGTGAACATTTAAGCCTCAGTTTGAATACAGAGACAAAAATACATGGACTATCTAACTCTTCTTCTTTCCTCGGAATCCACTCGAAAGAAGTTTGAGTAGAGTCGTATTTCTTTCTTTTCCTATTATTATCTTTAATTCCCCACCATTTCCTCTCAGTGGATAACAATGAATTACTGCAACGTTCCGTGATAGCCTTTTAGTAGTCAATCGCTTTCGCTTCAAAATGTGAGAGCAGACGTTAATCTTATTCTCTCTAGGTGGCGCTGGCTGTAAAAGGCAAGTATTTGGACTCCAGGTGTGCACCGCTTTGTCGACATTACGCTCTTTTCACTCGCTGGAATGAAATAAAAAGTTCAAAGGACAGGGTACTTCGCTGCAAGTGGAGGGTCTTCATTAAAGAAAGTGGCAGGTTATAGACGAAGACGCTCTCTGTTAACCTCACACCATTGATTCCCGTCAGAAGGCAGCACTGATCACAATAAAGGTGGGCAGTCTCGTTTCCGGTGTGATGACCTAAGTTGCCCTGATGGATCAGCACATAGACAAAAATGAAAAATAACAAGTCATTAGATTATTTAGTTCCAACTGTTTGTGGGAATGCCGCATATACCCATAAATCGATGATTGTTTCACCTGTGGCCTAGTGTTACTATTCTTATAAAACAAGGGTGGGGCCTAACACACAGCGTGTGGTACACCACTGCGTACAGTTACTTGTTAATAGATCTACATGTACTAGAGTATGTTACGTTACTTCATTCTGTATGTCTTCTTACCAAATGCACTTCTTCTTTTTACGAGCTGTTATGACACTGTGCATTTCATCTTGCTCAAGTTACAATGTCGCAATCCTTAATGTATTTATTCATGTATTCGAGGGGGCATACAAGAAAATGTCACCGGATTAAGTGCGTTCGTTATTAGGCGCAAACACATATTTCTTGTCAAGGAACTTGTGTTGGGGCAAATAATATTGCTGTTTATGACTGGCATGTTTACGGCAGCCCGGTGCTTAATTCCTGCAAATATTTCATCTAGCAAACGCATGTTGTGAGGTGGCATTAAATAGGCCCCCCGCAATGTTCTTTAATACAGTAATAATTATTACTGCACACACACTCACGCGCGCACGAGCGCTCACAGACACGCACACACAAAGTCAAAGGCACCGATATCGTGTGTAAGATGCACGGCAATCCCACGGCAAGTACATCCCGTTTTACGACACTTAAGCTCTGTAGTATACTGACACGAGGACAATTTCACGTCTGTTTATTATTTAAGTTGAAATAATGTCCAATACTTATTTTTCTGTACAACAAGCATAAGTTCCGGACTTCACTGAACCCGCAGTGGAAGTTGTTCTATTGCAAAACAGAAAAAAAGAAGTTAAAAAATAACTCATCTACGAATTATAAGCCTGTTTGGCCGCAGGTAAAAATTTAGGTCTTAATAAAAAAAACTGCTCGCTTATTTTACCATTCTGTAATGCTGTGTGCGTTAACACGTGCGTTAAATGGCTGTACCTTTACGGGATCGATCACCACCAATTACCCTTTAGGAATAACGGGGGCAGCGTTTCTATCTGGATTCAGTTATCTTGAAGTGAGCTCGAGCATATCCAATTAAAATTTGCAGACGAATTACAGTCGGCTTCTTCTTTCACCACTGCGTGTCGATTATAACGATTTGGGACGCCAGCGCTATATTAGGACGTTATTTTAGCTGTTAACAAATCATTAGGATAAATGGTGAGTTGGTGTCATAATTTCATTGCCTTTAGCTCTAAATTAGTGGTTTCTCATATGGCTGTCACCCAACATATAATAATAATAATAATAATAATAATAATAATAATAATAATGATCTTAAATATCTAACATGCATTGATTGCGTAAATTCCAACTGTTAACAATCGACACAAACTACAATATGCTCCTCTATTTGTATGAAAAGACTATCAATCATGTATTAGATCAAGACAAATTAATCATGTATTTAATGTGACACTATGTCATTTCAGAGGCGGGAAATTAAAAGTAATGTCTCTGCCTAGTTTCATGTCTATAGCTCTGTGTTCGTCGATGATATGCTGCGTTCATATTGACAAATATGACCATGTTGGTATTTTTCGTCACTTAGCTCAATGCAGTTATGTTACATGTACTGTCGCATGCTCCTTCTATTTGGTTCCATGTGAAAATGGGCAATATATCGGTGATCACTGACAATTACCACAGTCATGAATCACTTCCAACTAAATGCAATTGCAGAAATTAAAAACAAGCATGTTTATGGCTCGCTCTAAATGTTTCGTGGGTGTCAGATGAGAAAAAAATATGTCATATCGAACCAATTGAACCGGTTTAGGTGTTTGTCCACCATCGAACAACTGCACTCTTTTGACGTTATTTCCACAACAGTGGCTTTATGGTACATGTACTTTCACTTTCGCTTTTTCTACTTTATAATTCTACCATTGACCTTATAACTAAACTTTATTTCATCGGCCTGTTACAAAATCCGCATCCGTGTATCACCAACATCACACATTTTCCATCTAGTTATTATCATCTTATTATAGTATATTTGAGATCAATAATCACGGTTTTATCTTTTTCTAATCCTGTGTAAAGATACAGTAGGTTTATTCCACTCTATGTATAAAACATACAGAAGATGGACGTTCGCCACCGACATAAACGAGGTAATGAAAGTAAAAACATCATTTTCTCAAAGATTAAATACCTTCAAATGCAGTGTCCGTTAGAATGAGTGATCGAAAGCATTTTGCCGTGTTAACTGGAAATTTCTTTCAGCTCCATTATACACGTGTTTCACACGCCAGGAGCACAGCGCCAGGTTTCCACTCGCGACAATTACCATGAATGTTCAAATGGTCCATAAGGGAAATTTATATTTAATGATCATTGATTTTAACTTATCACTCTCTACACAAAATATAAGCTTTATACCTCACATGTCTTCATTAAAAGGTATGTAGTTTCAATTTTGTGTAGAAAGTGATAAGTTTTAACATGATAATTATGAAAAGACTACACAGAAGAATACCCGTCATAAATGTGTTTTTTTTACATATGGAGTTTAAACGGCAAAAGCAGCTAAATTGTACATCGAAGGAAATGTCCAATACACTGCAAGGGTGATTTTTAGCATAAAGACTGCAATATTTAGGTTTTTCATGGGGTCAATCGCAAATCCACACGCTTACCAAACCCTTGCCTTTCCTAGTCCATAAATGTCAACAAAGGCCATCATTCACAGGTAGTTTGGCGATCTGTTTGATTACAACCTAGTCAAGATGGAAAAAAAGTCAACGATTGATCAATGCCGATTAAAATTGTGACACAATTTCTGATATTGTTCCTGAATTCTGCTTACCGTACAATTTACAATTTAGCAACGGCAGAGGTTTGGTTGATTTAGCAATCTAAGACCAGTAGCCGGCTATCCACGTATTTCTAGAAGTCGTACATGTAACCAAGCTGAAAATGCGTTTAACAGAACGTAATTTGAATAAAGCGTGAGGAAATACACAGCCATCATTTGAGTATGGTATTTCACGTGTTTATCTTAGCCGGAGAAAGATTCTCTGAACATAAAGCAGGATATTTGTCTAAGTAAGGCTTATAATTCTGTATAACGTTGTATTATATAGTATATATATAGGCAAGACAGCGGGGCCGACCAAAGACCAGATCAAGAGACAACCTCCACCGCCGTCTTGGACCCACCTGGCCAAGCAAAGCCAAGGACAGATACCCGTGGAGACAAATCATGGAGCGGGGCCTCCATCACGGAATGATAGACAGCCCCGGGTGTTGACTGATTGATTGATTGATTGATTGATTAATTGATTTTATATTTAGTTAGGTGGTCCACATAACGCTGTCTAAATGCAGTCTATTTATCAGATTTAACAGTGCATTACTTCGCAATTTATACCCAAACTTTGGCATGAAGTAGACAAGAGACTAACGAGACCACAATGCTAACCAGTGTTCTGTTGTCAGAGCTACAGTCTAAAATGTCAATACCATTCAAATTTAAATGAACAATTCAATGCATGCACAAGGGACTTGATAATAGACAAAATGCGAAAGCATCGCTATTAGTACAAAACGCGCTCTCCAATGGACGCACTGGGTATTGGAAAATCATTTTTCATCAAGCTCGGTTGAGATTCGGTGTACTCCAATGGATAATGAATAACTCCCTTCTGTTCTCTGCTGTCTGCGGGAGGAAACGCACTCGTGCTTGGTTGCTCAATTAATTGCAGTTTTTCATGAGACGTTGTTTTATTACCGTTCCCGGCGAATCCCCGAACCCATTTCATTTCAAGACAGAAGCCAATAAATTCTGACATGTCTGTTTTACACGCTTTATATCGCACGACACTTTATGCTTAATTATCAGTGTGGAACTGTTGCTTTTATCTGGCATCTCTAAGTGCACGGAATTTTAAGAGGTAACACGCCAAAAGAGATTTTTTTATCTCATTCCGTTTCTTTTGTGTACGCCCCCGTTCCAACAGACATCTTGAGAAAGCTAATAGCTCGACTGTACACCGATGAAGGACAGATCTACTACAACCCTGGAAAACGACGCCCGCTTTCCTCCTAGGTATCGGACCGGTATTAGATTAGTTTTCTTTTGAACTTGTAAAAGATGCCAATGTTTTTACAACACCTAATTCGGTGCGTGGATCGGTTTTAGCTGTGCCTCAGATCTTTTTATCATGGTAGTTGGCAGTGAACAGGCTTTTTAAACAAAAAATATCTGGAACTGATGTTTGAAATGTGATGACAATTAGTGGGCCTTGGCAGCAAAATAATACATAAATAAATAAGCTGAAACATGTCTTAATTCTAACCTTCGTGTCTTGAGAGTAACTACTATTCTTACGGGGCTTTTTTTTCTTCTTCTGTATCTATTCCTCGTAGGTTTGATAGATCCTCCCTATCTGCAATCAAGCTAAATTATAATAAATGACGCCGTTTATGAGATGAGATAAGTAGAGAATATGATTCGATTTTTCTTATGAAGATGACATTTACGGTCTATAGGTTCACATTACGACTGCCCCTAATATCCGTGGTATTACTCCCTGTGTTATTGGGCTGTAATTACTGTAGTAAAAATAGGAACGGATCTTAGTGCATCTAATATCGAAAAAATATAAGGAGGACGGGATTTACGAAATAAATGCTTTTTGGCACATTTATAATACTCTTTTTGCGTTCACTTATGTGGCATTTGAGCGACAAGACAAAATAACGACTATAATCACGTTTAAGTTGGAAAATTGTTTTAATTACTTTCAAAAAGTACAGTATCGGGAGTAACAAATTATTTGTAAACAGTGGGCAGTGTTTTCACAAAGGCACGTTAGATATGATAACACCATATGTAATATTGTTTGGAAGGTATTGATATATGATTTGAAAATACAACCTTAAAAAGAAAAGCGATTCCTTTATACTTTTTATCTTGAAAGTTTTTTCGTGATTATCAAAATCTTTCAGATAAAGGCGAAAAAAAACGTTTTCCTGTGTTTCCATCATGTTTTTGTCTTTTTAAAAACTTCAACTCAGGCCTTATAATTAATATGGCTTCTAATAGATAATGACGCTAATAAAGAAACGAATAAAGAAATGAACAGTATCTCCTGATGCCACGCGATGAGGATTTATCATTCGTTATTTTTGCCACACACTCATCGTGACGATAGCGCACATGTATATGTGTTTAATGATAATTTCTCTGAGCTACGTACACGTAAATAAATGTGTACACTTCTCAAAAGAGATGAAAAAAGGCTTCGATCGCCACTGCAGTGGACGCTTGGTTAAACATCGTGGGCACCGCCAACACTTCGCATTAAGGCGCATTTCACTCAATGTTTCACCATATCACCGATATACCAATTTCCTGGTGCCATAGTCTTTATTGTTTNTTTTATTCTCTCTAGGTGGCGCTGGCTGTAAAAGGTAAGTATTTGGACTCCAGGTGTGCACCGCTTTGTCGACATTACGCTCTTTTCACTCGCTGGAATGAAATAAAAAGTTCAAAGGACAGGGTACTTCGCTGCAAGTGGAGGGTCTTCATCAAAGAAAGTGGCAGGTTATAGACGAAGACGCTCTCTGTTAACCTCACACCATTAATTCCCGTCAGAAGGCAGCACTGATCACAATAAAGGTGGGCAGCCTCGTTTCCGGTGTGATGACCTAAGTTGCCCTGATGGATCAGCACATAGACAAAAATGAAAAATAACAAGTCATTAGATTATTTAGTTCCAACTGTTTGTGGGAATGCCACATATACCCATAAATCGATGATTGTTTCACCTGTGGCCTAGTGTTACTATTCTTATAAAACAAGGGTGGGGCCTAACACACAGCGTGTGGTACACCACTGCGTACAGTTACTTGTTAATAGATCTACATGTCCTAGAGTATGTTACGTTACTTCATTCTGTATGTCTTCTTACCAAATGCACTTCTTCTTTTTACGAGCTGTTATGACACTGTGCATTTCATCTTGCTCAAGTTACAATGTCGCAATCCTTAATGTATTTATTCATGTATTCGAGGGGGCATACAAGAAAATGTCACCGGATTATGTGCGTTCGTTATTAGGCGCAAACACATATTTCTTGTCAAGAAACTTGTGTTGGGGCAAATTATATTGCTGTTTATGACTGGCATGTTTACGGCAGCCCGGTGCTTAATTCCTGCAGATATTTCATCTAGCAAACGCATGTTGTGAGGTGGCATTAAATAGGCCCCCCGCAATGTTCTTTAATAAAATAATTATTATTACTGCACACACTCACGCGCGCACGAGCGCTCACAGACACGCACACACAAAGTCAAAGGCACCGGTACCGTGTGTAAGATGCACGGCAATCCCACGGCAAGTACATCCCGTTTTACGACACTTAAGCTCTGTAGTATACTGACACGAGGACAATTTCACGTCTTTTTATTATTTAAGTTGAAATAATGTCCAATACTTATTTGTCTGTACAACAATCATAAGTTCCGGACTTCACTGAACCCGCAGTGGAAGTTGTTCTATTGCAAAACACAAAAAAAGAAGTTAAAAAAGAACTCATCTACGAATTATAAGCCTGTTTGGCCGCAGGTAAAAATTTAGGTCTTAATAAAAAAAACTGCTCGCTTACCATTCTGTAATGCTGTGTGCGTTAACACGTGCGTTAAATGGCTGTACCTTTACGGGATCGATCACCACCAATTACCCTTTAGGAATAACGGGGGCAGCGTTTCTATCTGGATTCAGTTATCTTGAAGTGAGCTCGAGCATATCCAATTAAAATTTGCAGACGAATTACAATCGGCTTCTTCTTTCACCACTGCGTGTCGATTATAACGATTTGGGACGCCAGCGCTATATTAGGACGTTATTTTAGCTGTTAACAAATCATTAGGATAAATGGTGAGTTGGTGTCATAATTTCATTGCCTTTAGCTCTAAATTAGTGGTTTCTCATATGGCTGTCACCCAACATATAATAATAATAATAATAATAATAATAATAATAATGATCTTAAATATCTAACATGCATTGATTGCGTAAATTTCAACTGTAAACAATCGACACAAACTACAATATGCTCCTCTATTTGTAGGAAAAGACTATCAATCATGTATTAGATCAAGACAAATTAATCATGTATTTAATGTGACACTATGTCATTTCAGAGGCGGGAAATTAAAAGTAATGTCTCTGCCTAGTTTCATGTCTATAGCTCTGTGTTCGTCGATGATATGCTGCGTTCATATTGACAAATATGACCATGTTGGTATTTTTCGTCACTTAGCTCAATGCAGTTATGTTACATGTACTGTCGCATGCTCCTTCTATTTGGTTCCATGTGAAAATGGGCAATATATCGGTGATCACTGACAATTACCACAGTCATGAATCACTTCCATCTAAATGCAATTGCAGAAATTAAAAACAAGCATGTTTCGTGCGTGTCAGATGAGAAGAAAATATGTCATATCGAACCAATTGAACCGGTTTAGGTGTTTGTCCACCATCGAACAACTGCACTCTTTTGACGTTATTTCCACAACAGTGGCTTTATGGTACATGTACTTTCACTTTCGCTTTTTCTACTTTATAATTCTACCATTGACCTTATAACTAAACTTTATTTCATCGGCCTGTTATATAATCCGCATCCGTGTATCACCAACATCACACATTTTCCATCTAGTTATTATCATCTTATTATGGTATATTTGAGATCAATAATCACGGTTTTATCTTTTTCTAATCCTGTGTAAAGATACAGTAGGTTTATTCCACTCTATGTATAAAACTTACAGAAGATGGACGTTCGCCACCGACATAAACGAGGTAATGAAAGTAAAAACAACATTTTCTCAAAGATTAAATACCTTCAAATGCAGCGTCCGTTAGAATGATTGATCGAAAGCATTTTGCCGTGTTTACTGGAAATTTCTTTCAGCTCCATTATACACGTGTTTCACTCGCCAGGAGCACAGCGCCAGGTTTCCACTCGCGACAATTACCATGAATGTTCAAATGGTCCATAAGGGAAATTTATATTTAATGATCATTGATTTTAACTTATCACTCTCTACACAAAATATAAGCTTTATACCTCACATGTCTTCATTAAAAGGTATGTAGTTTCAATTTTGTGTAGAAAGTGATAAGTTTTAACATGATAATTATGAAAAGACTACACAGAAGCATACCCGTCATAAATGTTTTTTTTTTTTTTTTTTTTTTTTTTTACATATGGAGTTTAAACGGCAAAAGCAGCTAAATTGTACATCGGAGGAAATGTCCAATACACTGCAAGGGTGATTTTTAACATAAAGACTGCAATATTTAGGTTTTTCTTGGGGTCAATCGCAAATCCACACTCTTACCAAACCCTTGCCTTTCCTAGTCCATAAATGTCAACAAAGGCCATCATTTACAGGTAGTTTGGTGATCTGTTTGATTACAACCTAGTCAAGATGGAAAAAAGTCAACGATTGATCAATGCCGATTAAAATTGTGACACAATTTCTGATATTGTTCCTGAATTCTGCTTACCGTACAATTTACAATTTAGCAACGGCAGACGTTTGGTTGATTTAGCAATCTAAGACCAGTAGCCGGCTATCCACGTATATCTAGAAGTCGTACATTTTACCAAGCTGAAAACGCGTTTAACAGAACGTAATTTGAATAAAGCATGAGGAAATACACAGCCATCATTTGAGTATGGTATTTCACGTGTTTATCTTAGCCGGAGAAAGATTCTCTGAACATAAAGCAGAAAATTTGTCTAAGTAAGGCTTATAATTCTGTATAACGTTGTATTATATTGCATATATAGGCAAGACAGCGGGGCCGACCAAAGACCAGATCAAGAGACAACCTCCACCGCCGTCTAGGACCCACCTGGCCAAGCAAAGCCAAGGACAGATACCCGTGGAGACAAATCATGGAGCGGGGCCTCCATCACGGAATGATAGACAGCCCCGGGTGTTGACTGATTGATTGATTGATTAATTGATTTTATATTTAGTTAGGTGGTCCACATAACGCTGTCTAAATGCAGTCTATTTATCAGATTTAACAGTGCATTACTTCGCAATTTATACCCAAACTTTGGCATGAAGTAGACAAGAGACTAACGAGACCACAATGCTAACCAGTGTTCTGTTGTCAGAGCTACAGTCTAAAATGTCAATACCATTCAAATTTAAATGAACAATTCAATGCATGCACAAGGGACTTGAAAATAGACAAAATGCGAAAGCATCGCTATTAGTACAAAACGCGCTCTCCAATGGACGCACTGGGTATTGGAAAATCATTTTTCATCAAGCTCGGTTGAGATTCGGTGTACTCCGATGGATAATGAATGGCTCCCTTCTGTTCTCTGCTGTCTGCGGGAGGAAACGCACTCGTGCTTGGTTGCTCAATTAATTGCAGTTTTTCATGAGACGTTGTTTTATTACCGTTCCCGGCGAATCCCCGAACCCATTTCATTTCAAGACAGAAGCCAATAAATTCTGACATGTCTGTTTTACACGCTTTATATCGCACGACACTTTATGCTTAATTATCAGTGTGGAACTGTTGCTTTTATCTGGCATCTCTAAGTGCACGGAATTTTAAGAGGTAACACGCCAAAAGAGATTTTTTTTATCTCATTCCGTTTCTTTTGTGTACGCCCCCGTTCCAACAGACATCTTGAGAAAGCTAATAGCTCGACTGTACACCGATGAAGGACAGATCTACTACAACCCTGGCAAACGACACCCGCTTTCCTCCTAGGTATCGGACCGGTATTAGATTAGTTTTCTTTTGAACTTGTAAAAGATGCCAATGTTTTTACAACACCTAAGTCGGTGCGTGGATCGGTTTTAGCTGTGCCTCAGATCTTTTTATCATGGTAGTTGGCAGTGAACAGGCTTTTTAAACAAAAAATATCTGGAACTGATGTTTGAAATGTGATGGCAATTAGTGGGCCTTGGCAGCAAAATAATACATAAATAAATAAGCTGAAACATGTCTTAATTCTAACCTTCGTGTCTTGAGAGTAACTACTATTCTTACGGGGCTTTTTTTTTTCTTCTTCTGTATCTATTCCTCGTAGGTTTGATAGATCCTCCCTATCTGCAATCAAGCTAAATTATAATAAATGACGCCGTTTATGAGATGAGATAAGTAGAGAATATGATTCGATTTTTCTTATGAAGATGACATTTACGGTCTATAGGTTCACATTACGACTGCCCCTAATATCCGTGGTATTACTCCCTGTGTTATTGGGCTGTAATTACTGTAGTAAAAATAGGAACGGTTCTTAGTGCATCTGATATCGAAAAAATATAAGGAGGACGGGATTTACGAAATAAATGCTTTTTTGGCACATTTATAATACTCTTTTTGCGTTCACTTATGTGGCATTTGAGCGACAAGACAAAATAACGACTATAATCACGTTTAAGTTGGAAAATTGTTTTAATTACTTTCAAAAAGTACAGTATCGGGAGTAACAAATTATTTGTAAACAGTGGGCAGTGTTTTCACAAAGGCACATTAGATATGATGACACCATATGTAATATTGCTTGGAAGGTATTGATATATGATTTGAAAATTGAACCTTAAAAAGACAAATCGATTCCTTTATACTTTTTATCTTGAAAGTTTTTTCGTGATTATCAAAATCTTTCAGATAAAGGCGAAAAAAAAAACATTTTCCTGTGTTTCCATCATGTTTTTGTCTTTTTAAAAACTTCAACTCAGGCCTTATAATTAATATGGCTTCTAATGATAATGACGCTAATAAAGAAACGAATAAAGAAATGAACAGTATCTCCTGATGCCACGCGATGAGGACTTATCATTCGTTATTTTTGCCACACACTCATCGTGACGATAGCGCACATGTATATGTGTTTAATGATAATTTCTCTGAGCTACGTACACGTAAATAAATGTGTACACTTCTCAAAAGAGATGAAAAAAGGCTTCGATCGCCACTGCAGTGGACGCTTGGTTAAACATCGTGGGCACCGCCAACACTTCGCATTAAGGCGCATTTCACTCAATGTTTCACCATATCACCGATATACCAATTTCCTGGTGCCATAGTCTTTATTGTTTCTAACAAGCCAGCAATATGAATATATACGCATTTTCAATATGTATTCAGTGTTAACAACTGATTGTACATTATTTGGAAAGATACACCTGAAGCTAATTTGATTTAAAAGTAAGACGCAGACAACGCTTCTGCTCCTTAAATTGTAAAAAAAAAAGANGTTTCTAACAAGCCAGCAATATGAATATATACGCATTTTCAATATGTATTCAGTGTTAACAACTGATTGTACATTATTTGGAAAGATACACCTGAAGCTAATTTGATTTAAAAGTAAGACGCAGACAACGCTTCTGCTCCTTAAATTGTAAAAAAAAAATTCTGAGTAGCCGATAATACTCCAGTTTGGTTAAATGTACGCAAAGCAACGGTTCAAGTCACAGGAAAAAAAAAACGAAAAACGGGGGTTTCAGAGAGAAGACTAAATTTTCATCATCAATAAAAGACGTTATCTCGTAAATTCTTTCAAAATGTACATTTATCACCCTTTATGTCAACCACAGAATTGCCTAAAAAAACGTGTACGTATAAACCACGGAGACTTTCATTAAAAAAATACCTTGGTTATAGTGTTAACAGAATACCTTTACTCACCTAAAACACGCTGGCATTTTTGGGAAATTCGACTTCAGAGTTACACGCATCGTTGCCCGCACAAAGGGAATAGCTGCGTCCCGGAGAGGATAACCTATGTTACAGCGCGCAGTGACAAGTCCAGGTAAGACGGCGCCGTGAATTGGTGATGCGCCCACAGCGTCAGTGTCTGTTTAACGAGAAGACAATCCACCCATGAATGACGAAAGCGATTCAATTGGATAATTATAAGTTGGTATTCCGCGAGACGATCCAGGTCACATGAAGACTTTCTTTTTGTTACCATAATAAAGTGGCAGAGCTCCCTCTCACGTTCCTTACACTATTCATTCAATAGACTATGAATGTAAGGCTTTCGCGTCGTCTATATATGCAGTGCTTCGAGATTATATACCCTCCACTCAATGGGCGCTATAAAATGTCCAGTACTTGTTTAGTAGGAAGTGTTTTGTAGAAAAAAAGATACTCGATAGGACCTAACTCTGGTAGTTTGGTGAGTTGTCACGCCAGACCTAGCACACCTTTATAACGCCAGAATGAACGGCTGTGGTGTCGATCAAAAGCCATCACCATTTCTTAAATGTGTATAAGCGTTCTAGGTTGATTCGAACACCTCCAAACTAAACTCCTCAAGCAGGAAACGGAGACTGAGCCTGTGCTAAAAAATTACTGGCGATAGCTGGATGAGGAAAGCCGCCGAATATATACTGGCTTGATCGGTAGTTATTCCCTAACGTCAAGACGTCTGTCTTAATCAGTTCACGTCACATTTCATATACATTATAACATTATGGATAACATCAAAATTGTTCTAAATTCTATTTAAGTCAGCTAAATAAACTCATCAAAAAATAAAATATTGAAGATGAAGCACTGGAATCTGTCCGCTGGGAAGGTTCGATCTGTCACTAATACGGGTTAATCGCTTTGTCAGAGGCCTAGGGCAGGGCACGCTAACGCTCCCGTAAGCAGGTTAACGTTTTAATTGTGTAAGCAAATTGGTGGAGAGGTACCAAATGATTGATAATTTATCTGTGCGTCAAAGCAGGTTTTCAGCATGTTTGGATCCCATCTCAAAATGTCACTTCGGGTTAACAAACAAAACGCAAAGATAGAGGAAGTGAGAAATGGAGATGATTAATGTGGTTAAATGTCTCTTTTTCATAAGATAGATTTTGCATTGAAATGTGATGCCTTTCGACTGCAGCGTGTTCTTTGTTCTCTGCTCAACCCCACGTGACTCCTCCAGCACTCTGTGGCATGGACTTTTTACAAAGGACGATTATTAAGCTTCTTAATGGCCTCTTAAGTGCAAGGTCTTAGGTCTTTAAAGAGTCTTACCAATCCTCGCTCAATCAAATTTTTTGCCAATATACCAGTTACCAGTACGTCAAAATCATATGCAATAAGTAAGCCATATGTGTCTGTCTTTACATTCCCATCCATCAGTCTGCTTGTCCTGATATTTAGATCTACAAACATGTTTTCCATCTTCACACTTATTTTTCTTTTATCTATATATTTATTTGTTATATGTGTTTCAACCCCGGCGTCTGATAAATAGTCCTTTCTGCTGCAATTTAGAGTTGAAAACAGACGCTAAACGGAGGCAAAGGTTTCACATTAACGTCCAAGTAAGTGACTATAATGCCATGTTGAGAGGACCGCTATTGGATCTACGCCACAACTCTAATATTGATTCGAGCGCAACAT